TTAAAATTTTTTATACAGCTCCAATTTTAAGTCAGGCATATAGAAAATTCTCTCAGCCTAATTTGCCAGTTCCCTCCTTTCTCTCACCTTTTAACCCACATGCTTGGATCAAATTTTCCACCAGGGTTCCTGTCTTCTTGCTGTGCTTGAATAGTTTTGGTCCTACCCAAACATGAACCTCCTCAGGCAGGGTGCTGAGAAGTTACTCATTCACTAGTTGCTCTATCATCTGTTCCTTGATGTTGCTTTCTGACTGCAGCCATAGCCGGCAGAGCTCCTGAATTTGGATCACAGAGTGGTGAGGCCCTGTCACTGACTGGTGCTTAGAAAATGCTTATAAAAGTTCTAGCGAGAAACTTTCAGAACCTCTGGATTTCTTATGGAAGTGTCTTCTAGATTCTTTTCTTCATCTTGTGCACAAAAGAACTGGGGATTGCTTAAGATAGTCAAAACCTCTGCTATGTGCAGCATCTTTATAGCTTGGTGTCTTACAGAATGGAGACACTCTAATAGGAAGGATGCTTCAGAACAAACTGTAATGGAAGATGATGAACAATGATATACAATAAAGAAAAGAGAAACCTTGGGACCTGTAGAGATTATATGGAGATTCTAATAGATGGCTTGCATGGCGAGGATTGGACAAGGTGCTGAAGGTGCTCTTAAAAAAGTGAAGTTGGCTCAGTTCGTACAAAATCCTAAACACATCTATAGATACGATGCATCTCAGTCCCAGGTCTGGAAAATCCATAGGCATAGCCTAGAAATATTTTTAGAAATGCTATTTAAAGGAATAATACTGGATACTATACTATTAATAGTAGCCTTGGAGCAGTGTCATGGAACAAGAACAATGTCTTGTTCCGCAAAGCTCTGTGTCATGTATGACTTGGTCCTCTGTGACTCGACTGCTCAGATTAGGGCTGGCTTAGATTCACTCCTCTTTTTGTTTGTTTTTGGGCCACACTTGATGATACTCAGGGCTGACTCTTGACTCTGCTTAGCGGGTTTATATGTGGTGTTGTGGATCAAATCTGGCCAATATCCATGCAGGGAAACACCCTGCCTGCTGTACTGTCACGTTGGTCCCTCACTCTTCTTGTTTATGATGAGTTACGTTGCCAATATTAAGACGCTAGGGTCGTCTTTGTTAAATCATATGTCACTTTTCATTTGTTCAGTCCTTCCAAAATGATATCAAACTTCTCAAAGGATCTAATATGTGATTAGAAATGTTAGGTAGGGAAGGCTCATTGACGAAGTAGAAACAGTCATGGCCAACAACAAAGTCCACATTAGAGAAGCAAGGCATACAACAACAAGAACAAAATAGCAATTGAGTTCTAGTTCCTACTGAGTCTGTAATCTCAGGAAGTAGGCTAGAATAGTTTTTCAGTGGTTCTGGATGATCAGAGTTGAAATCAGAGCTTCAGAGATATCTTCCCTTTAGAGTCTGGAAATTGCTCTCTTTAGGGGGTGTGACTATGCCTCAGAACATCCCGTGGAATATTCAGCACATTGTAGGTGCTTTCTAAGTATCTCTGAATTTATGGAGGTGGGTTTGGGTTACTTGATTATCATAATATTTGAGAAAAACAAGCTTGGTCATTCAGCTTCTGATGCTAGAGTGGTTAGATTCAGAGTTGGGGGTGGGGGCCACACCCAGCAGTACTCAGGGCTTACTCCTGGCTCTTTGTTTAGGAATTACTCCTGAAAGAGCTTGGCGTACCGTATATGGTTCCAGGGATTGAACTCGAGTCAGCTGCATGCAAGGCTAGTGTCTTCAGTCCTGTACTGTCACTCTAGACCAGACTGGCTAGATCTTATGCCAGGGACTCATTTCTGAAGACTTTGCACAATTCAAATCCCACACGAGGAAAGACTGGTTCTAATTGAAAAAGCATGACTGGCATGTCTACCCTCCAATAAAACTGATGCTGAAACAGCAGTTTGCAATATGCACAATAGTTATATTAAGAATAGTGTATTCTAAAGTAAATTTACTTTGGTTTTGGGCCACATTCAGCAGTGCTCAGGGCTTGCTCCTGGATCTGTGCTCAGGAATTAGTCCTGGTGGGATTGTGAGACCAGATGGGGGCTGGGGTAATCAAACCTAACTCAGTTAGATGCAAGTCAAGTACCCTACCCACTGTACAATAACTCTGGCTCCAACTATTTTCTAATTTTCAAGGATTCTTGAAAATTCCAGGAAATGCCACCAAACTCATGGTTTAAGTTATTGTAGTTCAAATTACTGTAAAATATAGGCAATATATATTATATGTTTAAGATAATATTCTCCTTGTGACTCCCACTTGTTGCATAAAAACTAGGGCCATTGGGGCAGAGATATAGGTCTGATATAGGCTGAGCACTCGTCTTGCATCAGGAGCCTTATGTGCTCCTTATCATCACACTCCATTAGGAGCAACCCCTGAGAACATAGTTGGGAACAGCCCCAATGCCGCCCCCAAAGCCCAGTCTCCAACACACACACACACAACCAGAATCTTGCCATTAACTCACAAGACCCTCTTTCTTGCTCTCGACAATCCAAGATTGCACGTTCCTGTTTTCCTTTCAGTCATCTCCCCCCCACACAGATGTTCTGAAACCCCATGACGATGACCTCATAAAGTATACCCAGAACTTGCTGTCCGCAAAGCCAAAGATGCCCCTTGAATGATCCATGGTTCTATCCGTCTTTGCTTTCATCTCACGCTTCCTGGGCCCCAGAAAGCTTTGTTTCTAGGCTGCACGGGGCATTGGCCCCTAGGCATATGTGTTCTTTGAAAAAGCAACTAAAGGCAGAGGACAAGGGAACAGAGATTGTGAGTCTTAGCATCCCTGGGACCAGGAGGGCAGTGGGAGGCTAGCACCACGGAAGGGCCACCAGCAACCAGTTCAGCACCACAGACAGAACTCCGAACTGCCCTACCACTGACAGTGAAGATGGAGACTCAGCACCATGGACAGGGACCAGTAGCCTCAGAGCTGTGCCGTGTGGGCTAATCAGGACCATGGACAGAGCTGAATTCTGCTTTGGCAGAAGCTTCTCCAGGCTACTGAGGCTCTTCCTACACTAATGGCAGAGCCACAGTCTCCAGTCCTTAACCCCAGAGCACCCCTGTATTTCCAAGGGGAAGCCTCTGAGGACTAGAGTGCAGCATCCTTGATTTACATAGTTCTGGGGTTCTCCTGAAGCACAGAAGCACCACAGAGCACATATTTTGTATCTGGCACCTCTGAGGGTTCCAGGGTTCCTCAATCATGGCACCCCCACTCTCCATCACTAAGCCATCTCAGTTTGTTTCTGAACTCGGTCCCTCCCCCAGGCACCGCCCCCTGCCCTGTGGCCACTGCCGACCACTTTCTCTTCTTCCCTTAGAGCCTCACCCAACCTTTCCCCCCACCCCCCACACCACAGGAGCACCCTGTGCAGCCTAGGTGGAATGCACTCCCCTATTCTACACTGGACAGGCTCTGTAGCAAATGGGGTCTGAGCATTGGACCAGCTCTGGGCAGTGAACAGGCCCGTTAGTTGATTGGCTGTGCAATGGATGAGTTCTTCAGTGGACAGACTCTGGGAGTGGGCTGGCTCTGGAAGTGGATGGGCTCTCCATTGGATTAACTCTGGGCAGTGGACCAGGTCTAGGCAGGGACAATCTCCTGGAAGTGGACAAGCTCTGCAGTGGAGGACTCTAGGTAGTAGATGGGCTCTGCGAGGGACCAGCTGTGGGGAGTGGATGAGCTCTACAGTGGAGGGCTCTGCGGGGTGTGGCCACCCCCGTTCTGGGCTGCAGCATGTCTGCACCAGAAGCCTCCTTTCTTCAGGGGTGGGGGTCATCTAAGTAGGGCCAAATATTTTGTTTTCATCAACATTACCAGATTGTTTTTCAAAAGGCTGAATCAGGACACACCTGTCCCACCTCTACACCAGCAAACCCCTGCCCTAAGCCCATGCTGCACCTTGGCAATCTGTTTCTGAACAGGGTGCATAGGGAAACAAGTAAAGTAAAGTAAAGTAAAGTAAAGGCCCTCCTGTTGTTCATCGATTTGCTCGAGCGGGCCCAGTAACGTCTCCACTGGAGATTTTGTTGTTACTGTGTTTGGCATATCGAATACATCACGGGTGGCTTGCCAGGCTCTGCCGTGTGGGCGAGATACTCTCGGCAGCTTCTCGGCCTTTTGGCTAAGATCAAGTGTAGTATAGGGAAACAAGGCACCCAGAAATACTTTCATTTTCCTCCTCCTCTTTTGTGTTTTTGGGTTTTGGGTCACACGTGGTGGCACTCAGGAACCACCACCAGTGTGAGGTAATGTGATGGGAATCAACTGGGACTTGCAGACCAGACTCAGACCTTTGAGTTCCTCCCTGGCCTATTAATATTGTGTGCATGTGTGTTTGCCTATGTATATGAATACATTTTAGGTCCATGTGTATGTTTGTATGTGTGTGTGCATATCTGTGTCTGTTTTCATGTGTACATGTGTGTATTTATGTTTGCCCCTATATTAGCATGTGTGTATGTCTGCATATTTCCATTTGTGTGTATGTCTGTGTTAGCACGTGTGTACTTGCATGTATGGGTGTCTGTACTTGTGCATATGTGTATTTGTGTGTCTCTTAGCATATGTGTGTATTTTCATGCACACGTGTCTCTGCATGCGTGCACTTGTGTATGTGTTTATATGTGTGTCCTTTAGCATAGGTATATATTTATGTGTATGTGTGTCTGTTTGCATGTATGCATTTGTGTGAATGTCTCTGTATTAATACATGAGTATTTGCACGTATGTGTTTTTTGTGTATTTGCATGTGCAAACATGTGTGTGCTTGCACAGGTCTGACTAAACTCCCTGTTTCTTCCTTCCTGTTCCTTGTCCCTCTGCTGTGCTGGTGTCTTGTGGGATCTCAGGTTGGGCCACAGGACTGGAGAGTGACTGATACAGTGCGTATCCCCTTCAGGCTCTGAAGGGCCCAGACAGGTCGGACAGAAATGCAGAGCCTCAGGCCTGAACACTTCCAGGGACTGCTGGAACCGGAGAGGATCCAGACGCTGCTGCCTCAGGAGAGCAAGGCCTGGGGGAAGCGCGGCAACTTTGTCCATAACTGGGTGGCTGTGAAAGTGGGCGTCAGTGCCAGTGAGGACAGAGGTGAGGGCACAGCAGTGAGAACAGGGCAGGACCTGGGGGCCAAAACTTGGGGGCAGATACAGGGTGGGCAAAGCTGGGGAGGGCAGATCAGAGGGTTAGAGCTGGAGGGAGGGAGGTTCATGTGCTGAGCCCCAGGTCAGAGTCTGGGGGACAGCTATCATGGAGGCCTGCCTGGAAGAAGCTGTGTTACCTGTGTGACTGGGGGCAGGTGAACCAGGTGAAGGAAGGTGGGACCCAGAGGCTTGTCCTCCAGTCCCACTCACTCTCCTTTCCCTCTGGCAGAGTCTCCTGAGGAAGTGGATTTCTCCCAGGAGTGTAGCCCCATGGATGAGGACGAGGAAGAGCAGGAGGAGGAGGAGCTAGAGGAGCATCAGGTGAGTTGGACCCTTTTCTCCAGTGACCCCTGCAGCTCTTGGTGGGTTGTCATTTAATGTTTGGGGAGCCTGAAGTTTTCCTGTTACACAAAGGCCTTTTGGGGGCTGGTAGCCCCCCGGGTGCTCAAGGGGCAAGTCAGTGTCCCCACATGTGCCTTTGGAACTTTCATCCCTGTATCATGGGCCGGGGTTCTGCCCTTTGAGGTATGTCCTGGTGAGGGCCCAGGCATACAACTGTGCCCGTCAACTGACCATGGAGCCATGGCTAAGCCTGTGTCACTTCTTTCAGGCCTGTGTGACCACCATGGGGACAGTCACACAGTGGCACAATTGCCTGCTGACAATTTTTCTGAGAAAGCACACTGTCTTTAAGTGCTGTCCAGCTGGACACCATGACCCTTCATACCTTTCTTCCTGCCTGGTCACTCTCCCTGAGGCTCTGACACCCACAGATTCCAACCCTTGTGTTCATGAACTCCCAGCCCCATGTTCTCCTGTGTCCTGCAGGGGACAGGGGTGGCACCCTGTTTCTAACCTCTATCCATCCCCTTCTGTTTCAGGGCTTTGTGGAGTGGCCAAGAGCAGTACATCACATGCCCATCTTGCTGGCCATTTGCATGCTTTTCCTCTTCCTGGTTCTGACAGGAATGCCCATGATGCTGATGCTCAAACTGTCCAGTCACCATTGGTGGATCTAGGATCGTGCTGGAGAGTGGCCACTGCACCAAACACTCCTTCTGAGATGATTATTTTAAAATTTACTTTTCTGACATGAGGTGTTACATTGCTATATCTTACTGAACTGAAGACATTGTGAGTTGCAAGATGTGTGGTATATCTGTACCACTGAGGAAAAATGTTACTTAATGGTCAGATGCCACCAAGTGGCAGATCCATGATGACTTTAGAGAAGGTAACCTGAGCACTGGCATCTGTCAGTTGTCTTCTTGTTGGAGGATTTTTGGATTCTCAGGTTGTGGCACACCATGTTGTCAGAGGCAGAAATTTGCTCCTTGATATTATTACACAGGGTCCTAACGTCTGTCTTCCTGTGAGGGATTGGCTTCATTTTTGTTAAGTTTTGGCTTCATGGCTCACATGGCTCAGTATGCGCAGAAGAAAAGACTTTACCCACCTGGGTGCTTCTGACTGGTCTTTGCACCCTGAGTTTTGTCCATGCCTAGACATTTGGGAAGAGTCTGCCTGAATCAAGCCAGCTCAGGAGTCAGTCACATACATTCATTCCCTTGGCAAGATGTTAATTCTTCTACCTCATGAGTTTTTGTGATTGATAGTTTTCTTTGTTTCCTAGAACTCACTCTCCTGTGATGTTCCAATTGCTAAAGTTTAATGACATTGCACTATTTTACCAGTTAGCAAAGCTCATTATTTGGGCCCATGGTCTATAAAAGTGTATGTGAAAATGTGTGAGTGTGTGTAGGTGTGAGTGTGAGATTTGGGGGGGGGTTGGGAGAGGGTGTGAGTGTGTGATTCTGTGTGCATGAGATTGTATGCATGAGAATGTGAGAGGGTGTGTGAGTAACTGATGTGTATATGTATATGAGTGGATATGAGGTATGTGAACTGTGTGTGAGCATGAAGAGGTGTGTGTGTGTATGTGTGTGTGTGTGAGGGTGCCTGTGAGTGTGTGTGAGTGTGTTGAGGAAGAAATAAGGGGCTGTAGAAATAGAGGATGTATGAAAATGGGTGTGAGGAAGGACTAAGGAGAAAGGGGAGAAGAAAATCAAAGGACAGATTCCAGGTCTGCAGCCCAGGTTCTAGACTGGACTGCCCCCCTGTGCCTGCGGCCCATGCTGTGGGCAGAGATCTGGGCAAGGGCACGTTGGTGGCGCTGACTGCACTGGTCCTGCTGCTGGCCCGCCTGCCACTCTGGGCGCTGCTGACATGAGTAACATGCGGCCACAGGCCCTGGCGCACATGCTCACAGCCGGGTGAAGCTGTACGTGGGCATCACGTTGGGCAGCACTGAAGCCATCCTGCTGGCCACCATGGCGCTGGACCTCTGCCTGGCCGTACCCCAACCCCTGTACTGTGCCGTGCTTGTGCCGCCTGTGCTGGCTGCACCTGTCCTTCTGCTCATGTGGCTACCCGGTGAGCACTTTCTCCATCAGCTGCCTGCCATGCCCAGGACGCTCTTCAATTGCGCGCCTGGGCACACCCATTCTTGGCTGCCACTCGTCCTTGCCCCTATGGTTCATCCTGCCTGCCATGCTGCCCACGTGCAGGGATGCCAAGGCACTGCCCACCTGCAGCTTGCACCTGCTCTTATGACTCACCATGCCCCGCCCAGGTGCCAAAAGCTGATGGCCATTTTCTTTCCTTCTTTTTAAAAAAATTTTTATTAGTGAGATGCCATGAGGTACAGTTGAAGGCTTACAAATTTTGTGCTTGGGTTTCAATTATACAATGATCAAATACCCATCCCTCCACCAGTGCCCATTTCCCAACACCACGGATCCCAGTATCCCTCCCACCCCCCATCCCCCCCATCCTACCCTACTTCTGTGGCAGGGCATTTCCCTCTGTTCTCTCTCTCATTTTGGGTGTGGTGGTTTGAAAAAGAAAGTGGCCATTTTCAGTTGGTGGTTATGCCCCTGCTGCACTTGCTCACCTACAGCCTTTGGAACTGCGAGTCTCCACCTGCTGCTATGGCCAGGCCGGCCTGCTCTGATGTGGCTCCTCTGTGTGCAGCCATGGTCCTGCGTCCTTTCCCGCCCTGTCTATGTGCCAGTCGTGGCGGTGCAAACTCTAAGGCATCTGCACCAGGGGGAACTTCTCTTCATTTCATCTGAGGGCAGCAGAGGCAGGGCCACCGGGAAGGCCTGGCCTTGCATACAGCAGACCTGGGTTCCCCCCACCCCCTGCCTCTACCCTCACCATACAAGGTCCCACCGTGGAGGTGCGGCTCCAAAAACAAATCAAATACTGTGATCAGTGCACTACACGTGAGCCATGACCAGTGCAGAGATTCAAAAGGGAGCCAGTGCTTCACTGTTAGTGTAGCTCACAGAGCTGAGCAACCAGGTTTGAAGTGATGTTTCCCAGCTGGCCAGAGCCACTCCTTCCTGGCTCTGTGGAGTGAGAGTGAAGTGGTTCTGCAGAGCACTTGCTTCCAAGTAGAGGGAGGCACCACACACGCACAGCAAGTGCTCTGCCGCTGAGCCCTGCCAGGAAGCTCCTGTGTGTGGTCACTAGCTGCAGCGTCACCTCCTGAGGCTGACAGTACCGTGTGGTTCCCCTAAAGAGGAAACACCCAGACACAGACACAATAGGGACCAAGGACATGTGTTTCAGTGTGCAGGGGCCACGTCACATTTCAGTCATACAATGATCGAGTACCCATCCCTCCACCAGTGTCCATTCTCTACCACCAATGCTCCCAGTAGCCTTGACACCCACCTCCACAAACCCCCCCACTGCCTCTGTGGCAGGCGTATTTCCTTTTACTCTCTCTCTCTCTCCTTTTGGGTATTGTGGTTTGCTATACAGGCATTAAGTGGCCATCATGTTTGGTTTGTAGTTTACCTTCAGCATGCATCTCCCATCCCAAGCGAGACCTCCAAGTGTCATTTACTTGGTGGTACCTTCTCTATCCCAGCTGCCTTTCCCCCCAGCATGTGAGGCTGGATTCCAAGCGTGGAGCAATATTTCTAGTAGAGATCATCTCTATTATCCTTGGGTGTTTGTCTACCATTCTGTTACTTTATTTTACACCATTGAGTGCAGTACTTCTATGACTGTCCCTCTCTTTCTGACTCATTTCACCTAGCATGATACTCTCCATGTTGATCCACTTACATGCAAATTTCATGACTTCATCTTTTCTAATATCTGCATAGTATTCCACTATGTAGATGTACCAAAGTCTCTTTAACCAGTCATCTGTTCTCGGGCACTTGGGTTTTTTTCCAGATTCTGGCTATGGTTAACAGTGCTGCAATGAACATACAAGTGCAGATGTCATTTCTACTATGCTTTCTTGCCTCTCTGGGATATAATCCCTGGAGTGGTATTGGTGGGTCAAATGGGACCTCTATTTCTAATTTTTTGAGAAATTTCTATACTTTTTTCTAAAAGGGCTGAACCAGTCAGCATTCCCACCAGCAGCAAAGGAGAGTCCCTTTCTCCCCACATCTACGCCAACACCAGTTACTTTTGTTCTTTTGGACATGTGCCAGTCTCTGTGGTGTGGAATGATATCTCATTGTTGTTTTGATCTGCATCTCCGTGATAACTAATGATGAAGAGAATTTTTTCAGGTGCTTTTGGCCATTCAGATTTCTTCCTTGAGAAAAGTTTCTGTTCATTTCATTGCCCCAATTTCTGATGGGATTTGATGTTTTCTTCTTGTAGAGTTCAACCAGTGCCTTGTATATCTATGATATTAACCCCTTATCAGATAGATCTTGGGTAAATATCCTTTCCCATTCTGTAGGCCGTCTTTTTATGTTGGTCACTGTTTCTTTTGAGGTACAGAGCTTCTTAGTTTAAGATAGTCCCATTTGTTTATCTCTGTTTCCACTTCTAGGTCAGTGGTGTGTCATCTTTGAAGATAGCTTTAGTTTCAATGTCGTGGAGGGTTTTGCCGACCTTTTCTTCAGTGTACTGGTGGATTCTGGTCTGATGTTGAGGTCTTTAATCTATTTTCATCTGACTTTTGTGCATGGTGGTAGATAGAGTTATGAGCCCATTTTTTTGCATGTAGCTGTCCAGTTTTTCCAGCACCATTTGTTAAAGAGGATTTTCTTGCCCCACTTCACCTTTCTTACTCCCTTATCAAAGATTAGATGATCGTATATTTGAGGTTTTTTGTAAGGATAATCAACCCTGTTCCATTGGTCTGCAGCTCTGCCTTTGTTCCAATACCATGCTGTTTTAATAATTACCACTTTGTAGTAGAGTTTGAGGTTGGGGAAGGTGATGCCTCCTATCTTCTTTTTTCCCCTCCCATCTTCTTTTTTCCAAGAATCTCTTTAGATCTTCTTGGTTTGTTGTTGCATATTAATTTCAGAAGTGTTTGACCCATTTCTTGAAGAATTTCATAGGAATTGCAATGAATCTGTATAGTGCTTTGGGGGGTATTGCTATTTTGACAATGTTAATTCTCCCAATCCATGAGCATGAGGTTTTTCCATTTCATTGTGTCCTCTTTTATTTCATGAAGTATCATTTTGTAGGTTTATTTTTGCAAACACCCTACCACTGCACTATCGCTCCTGCTCCTGTAGTTTTCTTTGTACAGGTCTTTGACCTCCTTAGTTAAGCTGTTCCTGCGGTACTTGATTTTCTGAGGCACAATTGTGAACAGGATTGCTTTGTTCATGTCACTTTCTTATCTCTCATTATTTGCATATAGGAAAGTCATGGACTTTTGGGTATTGATTTTATAGCCTGCGACTTCACTATACAAGTTTATTGTTTCCAGGAGTTTCTTAGTAGAGGCATTAGGGTTCTATAAATATAGTATCATATCATCTGCAAATAGTGAGAGGTTGATTTCTTCCTTTCCTATCTGGATGCCCTTAATATGTTTTTCTTGCCTAACCTCTATTGCAAGTACTTGCAGTAGTATACTGAACAAAAATTGTGAGAGTGGATATCCTTGTCTTGTCCCTGATATTAGAGGAAGGCTCTTAGTTTCTCCCCATTGAGGGTAATGCTTACCATAGACTTGACT